GAAAAAAGAATAAGATAAGACTATAAGAGCGAGAAGCAATTTAAATATGTTCAGGGACCATTTTCATCTCCAGAATTAAGGATTATTTTGATGTTACATCATTGCCTTTTCTCTTTTACTTTCCTTTTTAGTTTTATTTTAGGATTCCCTATTTTTAATGTTCATACAGAGATTTCTTTAACTGAAATACCGAACAGTTTCTTTGGTGTGAAAAACTATAATAGTACACAGGATCCTAATGAGACAATTAATAATGTGAAATAGGAAATAAAGGGCTAAAGGTGTAAGGAAAGTGGGAAGGGTGGGGGAAAGGTAATAAGGGAGAGGAAAAAAATATGAGAAACTGAAAAAATGGAAATAAAGTGTTTGTAAATCGGGAGGGGAGGGGGGGGTGAAGGGAGGGCAGGGACAAGGGGAAAAATGAGAATCAAGACCTATTATGTAAAGGTACAGAATCCCAATGATGAATGCAATTGTATTGTATACCTAGATTGTACCAATAACCTCAATAAAAAGAAGAAAAAAAAAAAAAGGGAAGTGAAGTAGGTCATGGTACAACATAAAAAAGGGCTAAATTGCATATATAAACACTATCACTTCGTGGTTTTGCCTAAGACCATAAAAAATGTTAAGAACTAGTTTTATGGAACAAAATCTGTATTGACTATGAAATATACAGTGATTTGAAGTACCAAAAAATAAGTAACAAAGCCCACCCAGAAACACTAAACTTCAAACGTGAATTTTGTGGCATCCTTTCAAAACAAGAGTTGAACGCCAAAGGTGAAGTCTGGCTCACATCAAAGAACAGTCCAATTTAAATTATGAAAATAATTAAGGCAAAAAAGTGAACTAATTTTTCCTTACTTGAAAACTTCTTTGGTGAGTGACTGGTCTAGCGTTTGAAACAAAAAATAAGCAACTATTTGAAAGGCATCACGGTTCAGCTTGTCAAACATGTTCCTAGTGATTTAAAATTAAAAAGGAAGAGAAAAAAAGAGATTAATAAAACTGAACATCAAAAGCTGTATAAGAGTTTGACACAAATTAGTATTTTTCATTCACTTAATAGTTCAAGGCAAATTAATTTTTCACATTTGTATGTATTTTATAATCTATTAAGAACATGAGCTTTTATTATCTAATTCTGAAAATACAGATCTAACAGAAGAAAATATTTGCTTTATTGCAGTGAAAATACTCTGCAAAGAGAGAACATATTCTAACAGTGGTGACAAACAGCACACATGCCACAGCAAGCTGTCATCACTGAAAGCTCAAAAGGTTTGCCATCACTGCTAGGATATGATGAAGCCAATAACATCAACCAACAATGACCACATAATAAAAATAACTACCATTTATCAAGTTTCCTATTTGCTAGACATTATTTTGGTGTTTTATAGGCATTTAATCTTCCTTACTATCATACAAGATTAAGTACCATTTGCTTTAACATGTTTCTACTTTTTTTGTTTTTGCTGCACTGAGGGTCAAACTCAGGACCTTGCACTTGCTGCCAGGCCAGCACAGTGCAACTGAGCCACATTCCCCGGCCTTCTATTTTATTTAATCTTAATGACACTAGAACGCTTGATTTTTTTCACCATACAGGTAAGAAAACTTAACTTAGAAAATCTGCTCAAAATCTCATAGGTAAGAAACGGAAAAGCACTGATTTGAAATGTCACCAGATCTTAAAATCTAAGCTCATTAGCGCTACATTTTATTACCAGAACCACCCCTATGACATAGTAAGAGCAAACTCATTAGTTCGGATTTCCCTAATTAGTCAAGACAAAGTCTTAAAAAACATGATATAAAAAGATCCACTAAATAGGAAATGTCACATAAGAATCAACTAGCAATAACTCAATGATACAGCTCTTGCATAGTATGCATGAGTCCCGTGTTTCATCCCCAGCACCCACCCCCAAAAAAAGTTGAAAGGGGTCTCGAGCCCCCTTTGGGTGCCCCTTACCCAATCATGCCACCCACGCACCGAGAGGTCCGGCAGGAGATCTTTATTGTAGGGAGGTGAGCAGGAGGCGGAGGGCAGAGAGCGAGAGAGCGAGAGAGGAGGAAGAAGAAGCAGAAGGAGAGAGAGAACAAAGAAAGGAAGGTCCTTTTATCAGTTTTGGGGTGGGCTATTGCTTATTTATGAGGAGTGAGCTACTTTTAACCTATCACAGGCCAGGTTGCTTTTATGGGCCCAGTCCTGCAGACACAGGTTTCAACTTTCCTGGACCACTGTGGCCTTGGCGGGGAGGGAAACCAGAGATAAGGGCATGAGGTTATTTTAGGAGCCAAGATGTACCAGGAGAATGCAGCCTGTGAGGTGGCGTCACAGCATACTTTAACATGATCAATTCCCTAACAAAAGTTAATATGAAAGGCAATATTATTTGCACGGAATCAAATCAAGGGATTTTTTTTTTTTTTTTTGGTGGTATGGGAATCAAACTCAACCTTGCTCTTGTGAGGCAGGTGGAAGAACCACTGAGCTAGATGCCCAGCTGTCAAGGGAATCTTTAATTTAGCTTTACTATTCCTTAGAATGTTTCTAGTTCCTCAGGAAATACAAAAAATTTCATCCATCCTACTTCTTTACCACCTCTCAAACCCATTATTTGCTCATAGTACTCTGCTCACTGTGACATTTGTAATTTGCAGCAAGAAAGGCATCAGTGGAACAGAGTAGTGGACACTGGACTGCAGTGGCTGGTGAGTTACTCAGATTGAAATGTCCCAAAGGAGGGGGCAATTAGCTAGTAGCCATCTTGGAGAGGGAACAACTGAGGTCAGAACTCAGAGAAGCTGCAGGCCAGCTCCATCAAGGTGAGGCAGGACCAAATTCAAGTTGGCAGGAGATCAAAGAGCCAATCAAGCCAGCAGGAGGCACAAGGGGAGCTGCAGGCTGAACAAAATGTGTTCCAGTCTCATAGCCAGAAACCAGCCTGAGCTTCAGAACTAAAGATGCAGGCTGGCTAGGATTATCCACCACCCCAAAAAATTCTGTGCCTGGTTTGTTAGGACTAACATGGAGCTGGATTCTGTCTGCCCACTTTGTCCACCAGTGACGGCAGAGACAAGCCTTGAAGTGGACTTTTTCTTTCCTCTTCTCTTTTTTGTCCTTAATTTGTTTTGTTTTTTCTTCATTGTTTTTATATAAGTGAGAAGTTTCTAGTTTTTGTTATTCTGTTCTTGTTTTTATTTTTTCCTTCTCTTTCCCTGTCTTTTTCATTAGTTTCCCAAAGTCTGCATAATCTTCCTTTGTTCTCCAGCCTTGCTTCTAATCTCTTCCTCTATTTCTCTATTATTCTCCCAAGGGTAAAAATCATACTGAGGGCATATTTGCTGTATACAATTTTCTGGTTTGTTTTATATTTTTATATAACCACAAATCTAGTTCATAGTTAAAGGTGGCAAATTAATAGTTATCACAGTTTGTCATTTTCTAGGCAGTATTTGATGCTTGTCATAGTTGCTGATTGTACTACTTTAGGCAAGGTGACATAGTTACTCTAATTGGTTGTTCTTCCTACTGTACCATATATATATATAAGCCAGTGCCAAAGAACCAGGGGTTAGGCCAAATAGGCAGCAACTTCTCATCCCCAATAAATTGAAGAGGCAGGATCTTGAAACAGACTCAAAACCCAAAAGCCAGCTACACCTGGAAGACATCTCTAAGAAGTAGTCATTTCCTAAGGGAAATACCAGCAATAGAGATGCTTGCCATAAATAATTTACAAGCATCAACCCAGGAACTAAAAAGAAAGAAAGAAAATGAGAACACACTTAAGCAAGACGCAACACCAAACTCCTTGCACCAAAGAGTGGAAAAGTCTATACTCATTATTAAAACAGTCTCTTGGAAGTGAAATTATACATTACAAAATTGAAATAGGTTGGGGAAAATAAGAGATGGACAGTGTGGCCCCAACCCTTCTTGGCCTTTAATGGGGAAGATAACAGATAGATACTGTCTGAAGCTGAAGAGATCTAAACAAAATATTTAGTTTTCTGGTCATAACCATTCCAAAAGTGGCAAAAGGGAAGAAGCTTTTGCTTTTCGTCTTAATACCCTTCTCTAGCTTTTCGCTGAATGTGCACGCTTTGGTGTCTTTATTCAAAAGTAAAAGTCACACAACAAAGAAGCGTCAAGGCCCCGTCCCGCCTGAAGGCTTCGTCCTACCCTCCCCCGGCCTTCCCCGCCCCGCCCGGCCGCTTACACTCC